GGGGCGGGGCTGGGCGGAGCGGGGCGGGGCCTGGGGCCAGTCGGTACCCGGGCACGGAGACGTGCCTGCGGGGGCGCGCGCGGCGGTCTGGGTGCGGATGGGGTGTGTGTGTCTCACGGTAGACGCCGGTGTGTCTGCGGTCCTTTCCCGCCGTCCCCACCGCGAGGGCCGCCCTCCCGCGCAGGGCCTGTCCTCCGTTCCCCACGGGCCAGGGCCAAGCTGGGCTCGGTGAGCGGCCCGCTTCCGGGGGGTGGGGGGGGCGGGGAAACTGAGGCATGGGCAGGCGAGGAGACGAGGGGGCTGGCGAGCCCGGGTGTCAGAGCCTAGTGTGAGACCTAGCAGATCGGAGCAGAGGGTGCTGTTGCTTGGGGCGGGGTGTGGGAGAGGTGGAAGTGGTGATGGGGAAGAGCTGGGGGCTCCCTTGTGTCTCTTTGACAGGGAGAAGCTGTTGTTCTGTTTCTAACTCAGACAGCACTGATGTCCATCCAGTCCCCTTCCCCACCCCTTTGGGGGGAAGGGGTAGAAGAGCCAGAAGTGGGGACTCAGGTGGGCAGGGGCTGTGCCATGGTCAATATAGGACTGGGGCAGGCCAGGGGCTGCATACTCTTGAGAGCCCCAGCAAAGCCCTGTGCCCCATGCTTTCGGAAAACACGTTTCCCCTTGCCTACCCCAAGTACTTCTCAAGTTTCACCCAAGCACGAATTTATGGAGGACAGAACTTGGGGACTGTTAGCTGGGCCTCACCAACTCTTTGGCAGTTAACACTGACACAGATTGAGTCTCACACCTAGTACCCCATGAGCTTGGTCTCTCCCATCCTCCCAACAACCCACCAGGCCAGTATTACCTTTATTATCTCCATTCCACAGGTGAGGAAGCTGAGGCACGGTTAAGTCACAGGTCCAGGTCAGAGCCAGGATATGAACTTGACCCCTCTAGCCCTTGGCCTGGCATTCTCCTACCATGTGGCACTGTTCCCAAGGCCACCGCACTTACTGGCACCCTACCCAGTGCCTGAGGCTGCAATCCCTGCTCATGACCATCTTGGTGGCCTGAGGTGTGGCCACAGGTTGGACAAGGTATCCAGTGCCCTTTTAATTTGTACTACCGCCAACAGAACCCTCTTGGCTCTGCCATTCCCCAGCAATGGCCCACACACAACATCCCTGATGGCCTGGGCCTCCTGCTCTGAAATATGAGTGACTCTCCCATGCCAGGCTAGCACTCTGGGTGTGATGAGGATGGTGCCTGCAGTCAAAGCTTTAGGGACAGGGATGATGATACAGAGAAGCAGAAAGCGAGGGACAGAGAGGCTAGGACAAGGACCAACTTTGGGCAGGGATCAAGGAGTGGGGGGAGACCCTATCCTGTCCCCCAGCTAGGTGGGCACCAGGGACAGAGGAAGGTTCAGGCCTTTTCCATGTGGCTTGCTGACTCCTGGACTTCCTGTGAAGGGGCCTGGGGGCCCCCAGGGTTCATGGCCTTTGGGTTGGGATAGGAGCTGCACTGGTCAAGCCAGCCCTCCTCTGGACAAACCCTCCAGGGAGCCCACAGAGGAATAGCCCTGGGTACGTGCCAGGAGTAGGAGTCGGAGTCTGGACACTGTCCACCACTATCCATGATGGGCCTGCTTCCTTGGCTGCAAACCCAGAGGAGGAAGAAAAGAAAGTACCACTTCTGGGTGGTTGCTAGGGGCCCATCCCTGCTTGGGGATTTACACCCGGTGTCATGAGAGGCCATCAAGTCTCTTCAAGGCTGACAGCCTGTGACTCAGCAAAGTGACGGTACCTGTGCCCTGGCCAGTGTGAGCTGAGGCTCACCAGGTGTCCACCCTGGTTGAGGTTTCCCACACCTCATCTCACCTAACCCTGACTCAGCCCCTGACATGGGTCTGTCATGAGCAGAGAGGTGTGGCTGCCTGCCTAAGGTCATACAGTTAGCAGGTGATACAGCCGGAGCTTGCTCCCAGGCCTCAGTAGACCCTTCCAAGGTGGGGAGCAGGCAGGCTCTGGGGGCACAGAGGCAAGCTTGTGTGGACTCTGCCCTGGCCTGCCCAGTGTGGCACTCAGGAACTGTTCACCACACACAGTGGCTCCAGCTGAGCTTGGCCTGTTCTCCCTGGGGCCTCTGGTCGCAGGGCTTGTCTCTGGACGCAAGCCCACCTCCTGCATTCTTCCTCTGTCCTTGTCACACTGCGCCCACACAGCTACAGCCTCTCTGCCCCTCTTTAGGTGCATCACACTTCCCCTTGAAGTTTCCAGAAGAGAAAGATTGGCTGAGGCCAGTGTGTGCTCACAGCCTCTGAGATCATGTGTCTGCATAGTCCTGAGGGCCCAGAAAATACTTCCTCGTGTCTAATTTAAATCTTTCTGGCTCCCACAACATGCTACCAGCCCTGCTCTAAAGCCATGGTTCTCAACAAGGTGTGATTTTGCTTCCTTGTCACCCCCCCCCCAGGACAGTGTCTGGAGACATTTTTATCTGTCACAACTTGAGGGAGTGCTATTGGCATCTAGTGGGTAGAGGGCAGGCGTGCTGCTAAACATCCTGCAAGGCACAGGACAGTCCTCACATCAAGGAATTATTTGGCCCAAAGGCCAAGAGTGTTGAGATTGAGAACCGCTGATACAAAGCATGGGCTTTGGAGCAGGTCAGTCTTTCGTTTGAATCCTGCCCCTGGCATTCACTAGCTGTGTACCCCTGGGCAAGTGGCCTCGCCTCTCTTTGAGATGTGGTTTGCTCTTCAGCCAAAGTGGCACTAATAGTGGCCCTTACCTTGTGGGGTCTTGAGGCCTGAGTGGATTGAATACGTCCAATACTGGGCACAGGGCCTGGCACTGGGGAGGCTCCATCAGGGACAGCCATTATTCTTCCTTCTCATGTTCTAAGGTGAACCTCAGGGTGTGGGAGCAAAGGTCTGGTGGCTGGACCTGGAGATCCCAAAGGATCCAGCTTAGCACAAGGTGGGCCTATTGTTGATGCTGAGGGAGAGGATAAGTTGGCCACTGTGGACCACTGTGGAGGAAGGAGCCAGAACAGAAACTTGATCCCAGGTGGGCAAAAGTCCCCGGAAGCTCACCTCGATCACCCTTCCCTCCAGCCCAACCCCAGGGAAGCCATGGGGTGGAGGGTGAGAGGACCAGGACACAAAACACTCTGATGAATACAGTCCCTTAGCTCAGGGAAGTGCTCTGGATTCACAGCTGGTATCAAGAAGAAGTGGTGTGTGAGCGAACACAACCAAGACAGGGAGAGACATGGGGTGGGTGGGAAATGGCATTTGGGCCTAGGACACAGCATGTGTGAAGGCTAAGACATAAGGCTTATTTCCCAAATGATATTCCATGTGGCCAGAGTGGTCCAGGTTGGTGGAAAGAGCTTACCCCAATGGGGCATCAGGATTAGGAACCTGGACATACACCAGTTTTCAAAACAGGTCCCCCTTCCCAGGTATAGGGTACAAAGGCCCTCTTTTTTCTCTATGGTGGAAAGAATCATAGTTTTACTCTTGCCAGCCCAGCATC